CATCGACTACGCTCGGCTCCAGGTCGACGAACACGGCGCGCGGCACGTGCTTGCCGGCGCCCGTCTCCGAGAAGAAGGTGGAGAAGCTGTCGTCACCGCCGCCCATCGACTTGTCGGTGGGCACCTTGCCGTCCGGCTGGATGCCGTGCTCGAGGCAGTACAGCTCCCAGCAGGCGTTGCCCATCTGCACGCCCGCCTGGCCCACGTGGACGGAGATGCATTCGCGCTGGAACGACAGGGCCGGTGAGATAGAGCACTCGCCTGCGAGTGCAGCCGCCGAGGCGGGGGATGGGCCCGGCACAGGACCGGGCATCGTCTCTCATTGTCCGAAGCGAGCCGGGGTGACGTGGGTGCAAACGGACGATCGCGCTCGTCAGCCTGTGCACGGGGGAGATCGGATCACCCTGGCATAGCAACACATCCGGGCATGTGTGCGCTTTAAAGATGGCGTGCATGGCCGGAGCCTCCCTTTGCACGAGGCCTTGGGTGGGTTGCGATGACTCAGACACCAACACGTTTTCCCTGATCAACAATCCGGGTATGATGTTTAGCGCCGACTGAGGAGGAAAACCTCTCGTTTAAGTGGAGCACCGAGGGCAAAATTCCTATAACCGAGTACAGAAATCGATCCTGAGAATTATGTCACTTAGGTTCTCGCGCATTCGAAGTGGCACACCAAACGTTAGCTTGACAAATCTGTCAACGTACAGCAAACGTTCATGACTTTGGCGGCCGCTGACCACGACGCCTTGAGCGGCCGGCCGGCGGCTCGCCGGCGGCCCAGCTGCGGCCGAAGGTCGTCGCCCGCGCGGCCGCAGCTGTGATTCACCCGCCCCGAACCCCGACTAGCTCGGGATGATTCATGTCCGCTGCGGGCGCGGCGTGACCGTCTTGCCCCACTGGTCGTGCCGCCCGCCGAGCACGGGCGAGTCCAGGACGGCCGCGGGTAGGCATTAGTCCAGCAACGTCGCAGCAAGTGCGGAGTGTTAAGTGGCAGAATGGCTGCTCGGACCCCCTATTCCTGAGCGTGAGGCGGTTGGGCCCTACGCATGGCATGTGCATTACCGGCTCTAAAGGGCTAATTGCTGTCATGCACTCCGTATATAATGCTTACGGACCAATGGCTGTCAGGCACTCAGTGTGCAATGCTAAAGGACCAATTACTGTCAGGTACCCAGTGTGTAATGCATCATATTACCCAACATTAATGTTTTGTTCAATCTAGCATCAAATCCGTCCGCCAGGGCCAACGTTCGGTCTGATATCGACCGAGGCCTGTGGCGGGCGGGCAGCGGGCCTGTCCGGCGGCCAAATGACAGAGCCGACCGGAAACAATTAATCGTGCTGGTTCAGGGCCCATGTCTCGAGTTAACTGTCCCTTGGGAGCTGAAGGAAGCCTGGTGTATTTCCGCATATGAACTTGAATGCCAGGGACGCTTAATGGATGTGGTATGGCGGCTGTTGACTACCAGTGCGCGTCTCACCAACGGCAGTTGGTGAGATGCGTTTTTGGCTGATGGGAATATCACCTATGGGTTGAATGTACGCCTTCACAGGTGGAAAGCAGAACGTACAGAGCGCGCGTATCGATTTCGTCCGCTTGGTAACAGGGACGAGCAACCCCCCCCCCCCCCCCCGGCTTCTCAACCCAGAGGAATCGCTTATACATGCGGCAATCTGATCCGGGCCACACGCTCTGGAAACGCTTCTAACTGGGCCGCGATCCATACATCAGTTCCAAACACACGAGCACACGCCGATCCATCCGAACTGGCTCGAACGTCCCGCCGCCACGTCAAAGACAAGAACAGGTCTGACACGAGATCGGGAGCGGTCACTCACCATGTTGAAGAGATGGTTTGGTGTCGGCTCTGAGCGAGACAAAAGACCAAAGGCAGTGTAACGAAGCCTTACGGACGTTTGCCTGCGATGCCCGGGAGACGGAGGTTTGAAGCGGTGGCCGCCGTCCGGCCGTTCTTTATACGCCCGGCCGGCGACGTCAGCGGAACGCTCTGATTGGCTGAGACACGGAAGGGCGGTGGCCGCCTCGTGGCGCCGTCGCGCAGAGGCGCACCGAGGTTCCTGCTGATGGGGGAACGGCTATCACGAGTGGGGGATGTGCCGTGAGCGTCAATATTTCCAAACTACAAACATCACCAATGTTCGGGGCATTTCTGCGTCTTGCTCGTGTCAGCACTCGGCGAACGTTGCTTTCTTTCCCTGGCGCCTGAATCCGGGAGGTGTGGAGGAGGACATCCAAATTAGTGGTGGGTCATACGGCGCCCCTACCTACATATGCAAAGCAGAAGCTCCCAGCTATACCCATCATTCGCTGCCTGCCGCAGATGGGGTGTGCCTGCCCCCTGCCCTCGTGTCTGCGCCTCTGTCGGGGTCTGGGTCTGTCTGACCTCTTCGCAGTCACGGTCCATACATGGACTCACGACGGTCGGCCGCGTCGCCGTCCCGTCTCCAAGGATGGCAGTATATCCAGTCGCTTGTGTTGTTCGACCATGCTGAAGGAAGCTAAGTTATGACAATGAACAAGTTATTTATGGGCATTGCGCAACCGTCCATAACACTCTCATTATTGCCACGCTAGCAGGGAACCACCGACGCCCCATGCTAATTCATATCGTTCAATTACCATAATCGCGCAAAGGATCAGCGGAAACCTGACAGAACGTCACTACAACGCGCCAATGTTTCAGCCTCGTTCATTAAGCACGTGTGTACAATTGACCTGGGTGTTGCCTGCCGTCGCTGATAGCCTGGTTACGCTAGGGATTGGAATTCCGTAGTTCACGCCCAGCTCCACTCCTTAGGGCGAGACGGGGGGAGCTTTCGCTTCCCCCCCCCCCCCTCCCGTGCCGCCGGCGCCGGGCGACCGGCCACCGACCGGCGGAGTCGCGGAGGGGACGACACTCGGTCCGACGCCTCACGTGCGTGAGTCAAAGACCACGCCCCTGAGTCAGCGCCGACGCCCGCTCGACGGCCTGCTCTCCGCCCTCCCGCGTACAGCCGTCTTTGTGACGGAAATAGAGCATCGGGCGCCGCTCCACCCCCCGTCGAGACGCCGTCTCGCGGCGGGACGGGTTGACGGTGCGCGGGTGGGGTGGGATGGGGGGGGGGGCAGCTGTGTGAGCAACGGGGACGACCGCCACCTGGTGTTTAGATAGGATTCGGCGCTGACAAGGCGTCACCGCGGCTATTTTGCATGGGAATGACTGACGCGTGGAATTCTCTCACGATTGGTATCGCTCCAGCGCTCCCGTCCGGTGTGCCATACACATAGCATGCAGCGAAGGCTCGACGCAGTCTCACCATTTGGCTCACGCGGTTCTCCCTCGCACGGGCGGCTCTCTCTCACGGGCGCCTCTCGCAAGACACGGGCGCCTCTCGCAAGACACGGGCGCCTCTCGCGAGACACGGGCGGCTCTCTCACGGGCGCCACTCGCAAGACACGGGCGCCTCTCGCGAGACACGGGCGCGCCTCTCGCGAGACACGGGCGCCTCTCGCGAGACACGGGCGTGCCTCTCGCGAGACACGGGCGCCTCTCGCGAGACACGGGCGTGCCTCTCGCGAGACACGGGCGCCTCTCGCGAGACACGGGCGTGCCTCCCGCGAGACACGGCAGCCACTCGCCCGGTGACTCGGCAGCGCCGTCACGAACCGCCGCATGATCCCCGGCGGTTAGCAAGCCCCGTCCAGTTCCGTGAATTCCGATAATGCCAATCTGTTCAGTCGGTGCCTCATCTGCGGCGTTACTGGGTCGTCGCCAGGTCGCGGGGTGCCTCTCGTTCTCGCCTTATCACGCCAGCGCCGCCGGGGCGGCACGTACGACACTGACCCCCCGCACGCGGAGGCTCGCCGTCCCTGACCTGACGGCACAGGCAGATGGGTGACGGGGACTGTCAACGCCGAGAGTTGGTGGTGCGCGCCAACACAGCACTTCGCGCGAGCGTACTGTGGCGCCAACCGCCTGTCAAACGCGGCACTGTTCTCCCGGCATGTTGCAAGGCACTGCTCGCTCAAAACTGCTTAATAGATTAGACTCCTTCAACACTGCAGCCGGCAGCGCACTTCCCTTGCTGTCCATTATATGCTTTGATTGGTTGCTTTATGCCGTGATGACTGTTTGAAGGCCGCAACCGCGTCACAAGCCCTTCATCGTGCAATGGTCGACACGCCACCACCAGCGGGAGCGAACTGGACTGCTCTTGTGAGCCGTAACACTAAGCAAGAAAGCTTGATGCTTGTACGAATCCGGATAGCATGTGTCCGTCGGCCAGCGTGCCCGGGGCTCGCTACCGTGTCAGCGCGGCAACTTCGAGATCGAACGTCGCCTCGCCTTTCATGTACATCTCTTACGCGTGTTTACATGCCGCGTGTCCACACCTATCCGTAAAAATTCCAGCACGCTGCCCGCGCGGCCAGCAGCTCTCCCGACGCGGCCAAGACCGCGGGCGCGATCATACCCCCAGCGGGCGTCCATCCACCGCACCGCCTCGAGACAGCGACGCAAACTCCCCTTGTATTCGCAGCGGTATCACACGAACAGTCCGTTCAGCACCCAGCCCCGCGGCGGAGCCACACGCTCAGCTTCGCCGCCTACAAGCTCGCGCGGAGACGGAAGCGACCCGGCACCACACTCACTCCCGCACTCCCTCGCCCCCCTCGCCCTCCCTCCCGGTTCTCCTCCCGGCCACTCGCCTCGCCAGGCGGCGCCTGGCCCCACCCTCCCCCTCCCACCCACCCACCCCGATCTCCACGCACCCGCGGACAGGGTCTACCGCAAGCGCAGTGGAAAAACACGAGATTCTGACGTCACATCGGCGTGGGGCGCGGATGACCGCTATCGCCGCTAAGGCTCTGCGGTTGGCAGCATGCGAAGGCACCAGACGACGGTCGGATGTCGGGCCGGCCAGCGCGGCCGCCCCGTGCACCACGCCGCGGGGGCGGCGCCAGCGGCGCCAGCGGCGCCAGCGGCGCCAGTGGCCGGTCAGCCGGCGCAGTCGTCGGCGTGGCTGTCCCACGCCTCCACCTGGCGACGCGAGGGCGAAGCGTTACGGCGGCGCGCCACAGGGTGGCAAATCGTGGCCCTAGACGGGTGTTTGATATGCTTGTTCGACTAACAGTGGCATACGCTTGAGGCGGGTCGTAATGTTATAGTGAAAAAGAAACGCCATAAAGACGACTTGACACTTGAAGCTAACGATTGTTTTTCGGCGTCCTATCCACAGAGCAGCTTAAAGGTGCGTTTAAAATGGAGTATGTCACACTGACAAATTGCGACGGAGCCCTGAATCACGCGACTGAAAAAGTACAATCGTCATCCACAATGTGTTTTAAAGCATGACTTTCGAACTGTGTGCTACACAATCCCAATTTACGCTGTTACAATTTACGCACTATGCTCCGGGTTCAACGCCGCCCCTGACACTGACGAATTGTTTGCCATGCAAGGACAATGGTCATCCCCTGTGCGGCCAAACCCAGGACGAATGTCTTAATGGAACTCGTTTCAACTACTCAGAATAGGAGTGCACATTCAACTAAGCTGCGTTTCGCCCCCTCGCCGTCGCTTGAAGCCCACCCGTGGATAGGCCCTCCCCGACAGCCTGGCACTTTCCTCTTTCGCTGGCACAGCCCGGGGGACAACAAACACACCGGCGGCTACATGGCGCGTCACTCCTGATGCGACGCGCGACATGGCGCCATCCTCTTCCCAGACTCCATCCTCGGACCTTCTGAGACCCTCACCTGACGGCAGCCTTCCACTTTCTTCCCGGGCTCTCACTTGGCGGTCCCATAAGCCCCCATTGAACACCACATACTTGCCTGGCAATCCCAGGACGCCTCCCTCTTTGCTAGACTCCCACCCAGCAGTCACGGGAGCCCTCCCCTCCCGTCTCTGAGAGGGCAGACATGTGTCCTCCCCCTCCGCCTCTCACCTGGCAGTCGCGGGAGTCCTCCCTTCCCCGCCTCCTACAGGTCAGTCGCGGGAGTCCTTCCCTCGCCCGCCCCTCACCTGGCAGTCGCGGGAGCCCTCCTCTCCCTGCCTCTTAGAGGACAGTCACGAGAGCCCTCCCTCGCCCGCCCCTCACCTGGCAGTCGCGGGAGCCCTCCTCTCCCCGCCTCTTAGAGGACAGTCACGAGAGCCCTCCCTCGCCCGTCCCTCACCTGGCAGTCGCGGGAGCCCTCCTCTCCCCGCCTCTTAGAGGACAGTCACGAGAGCCCTCCCTCGCCCGCCCCTCACCTGGCAGTCGCGGGAGCCCCCTCTCCCCGCCTCTTAGAGGACAGTCACGAGAGCCCTCCCTCGCCCGCCCCTCACCTGGCCGTCGCGGGAGCCCTCCTCTCCCCGCCTCTTAGAGGACAGTCACGAGAGCCCTCCCTCGCCCGCCCCTCACCTGGCCGTCGCGGGAGCCCTCCTCTCCCCGCCTCTTAGAGGACAGTCACGAGAGCCCTCCCTCGCCCGCCCCTCACCTGGCAGTCGCGGGAGCCCTCCTCTCCCCGCCTCTTAGAGGACAGTCATGAGAGCCCTCCCTCGCCCGCCCCTCACCTGGCAGTCGCGGGAGCAGTACCACTGTTGGCCGCAGCCGGCGCACACGAACTGCGCCGGCCGCCGGCCGCAGCCCTGGCACAGCGGCACGTTCGACGGCGGTGGCGGCGGCGGCGGGGGAGGCGGCAGCCCCCGGGCGGTGCTGCTGGCGGGCGGCGCGCCGGGCCGACCGAGCGGACCGTTCACGGACGGACGCACCGTCATGTGGGGCTGCCAGAAGACGGCGGTCGTCAGCGACCCGGCACCGGCGACGGCCGGGCCGCTAGCGCAGCTCGAGTAGCGCACGTGCAGCCCGGCCGGGGCACGTGGATGACGGGCGCTTCCAGGGACGTCACGTGACGCCCAAGCCCGGGCCAAACGAGAGCAGCTTTCGAAAACGGGCTAAGGCGGCACGCCCCGTGAGCATGTCATCATCGCGAGCATTACGATTCGTCCCATATAACCCGCATGAATGTCACGCAATCATATCTGTTCGGAGATGGGTTCATCAACTCCAGCCTGCCACTTTCGATGAAGCAACCGTAAAAGGCAGAAACCACGCGCTAGGGAGAACCTCTACCATACACCACATACAACGTCCAGCGCAGCTTTCCGACACCACCCCAGCATCGACTCTGCCCAAGCCGTTTCCCTACTTTGGCGATGTCATTCCGACACCGGCCACTCGCTACCTTGAGCATCTCGTTGAGCAGGCCGGGCTCCATCTGCCGCTTCTTCTCCATCAGCAGCTTGGCCAGGCTGCTCGAGTGCGCCGGCACCGCGTCACCGCCCAGCTCGCCGGGCGCCGTCATCTGCTGCTTGAGCTGGGTCACCTGGGCCAGGATCTCGCAGTACTGCTGGCCGTGCGGCCCGAGGCCGCCGGTCGGCCGGAGCGGCTCCGACGGCGGCCCGCGCACCCGCACGCTGAACGGTGCCACGGCCACGGGCCGCGGCGCCGGCCCGGCTGACATCGAGGCGGCGCGCTGTCGTTGCTGCAGCTGCTGCAGCTGGTGCTGCTGCTGCTGCTTCAGCGCCCACATGGCCGACACGGAGGTGGGCGTCGAGCAGACGGGCGCCGCCTCCTCGGGGCGCGGTGGAGGTGGAGGTGGCGGCGGTAGCGGCAACGGCGGCGGAGGAGGAGGCGGGGCGGGCGAAGCCGGCGGCGGCGCGGCCACCGCCTCACCGGTCGGCTGCTGCAGCAGCACCTCTCGCTTGCGCCGCAGCCGCTGGAACGTCTCCTCCTTGGCCTTGCGCAGGCGGAGCAGGTTGTCCCACTCGCGCTCCTTCTGGCGCGCCAGCAGGTCGATGGCCTTGACCTCGCGCTTCAGCTTGTGCAGTGACGACTCAATCATCTCGACGGTGCGGTGGCCGACGGCGTCAGGCCGCTCAAGCGAGGCGCGGCGCACCTGGCGGCCCGGCTCAGCCGGCTCGGCTCCACGTTTACGGGAGGGCGCCGGGCTGCCCGGCCGCGCTGCCGCCTCGCCGCCGGCCGCCGGCTCGGCAGGCGCCGCGGCCGGGCCCGGAGACGCCGCCGGCGGCCGCTGGCCGGGCGCGCGCCCCGACGGGCTGGACACAACGCTCGGTCGGCCGGGAGGCGCCGGCGGTGCGCCGACGGCGGAGAGTGCCGACGCCGTGGTCGCGGGGCTGGCAACGGTGGCCGGCCGGCTTGCGACGACGGTCGGCGGAGCCGACGCAGCGGACGCCGGCGGCGGGGTCGGCGCGGGGCCGCCCGCCGTCGCCGCCGCCGGGCTGGCCACAGCCGCCGGCCGGCCCACAGCCGCGCCGGGCTCGCCGGATGACGCCGCTGACTCGGCGGCAATCGTCGCAGACGGCTGATCGGAGGCGGCGTCGGACTCGGCTGACGCCGGTGCCGGCTGCGCCGCCTGCTGGACGGTCGGCTCCGGCGCCGGGGGCGGCGGCCGGCCGTCCGCCGCGGGCGTCGCGGTCGTCACTGGCAGCGCATGGGACGGCCGGTTAGTGCGGGAGCCGGGCACGTCGCCACCGCCCCCGTCACCCGGGACACCAATCAATGCTGTCCAAGCCAACAGCGTCTACACGCCGCTTACCGGTAGCCAGGCGGCGCGGCTGCTCAACATCGCTAAGCAACCGGGCGATAAAGCTCTACCAGGTACACAAACCGGCGTTACCATGGCATCCATCCACACAAGCGATGCAGGGTCGTTGCGTAAACCGAGGCCCTGCGCGTACACACAGGCCCGCAGAGGTGGATAAAGAATGTTCGCTACCTATAGCGGTTACGAAGCCATAAACGTAAGGGGTGCTTAGTTACCGCACAGGTTTACATATGTATATATATATATATATATATATATATATATATATATACGTATTTCCGCTCAATGAGTAACAAATCAGAGCAGTGGAACTTCCTGACGCGCGCACTGACGTTAATAATTGTCTAAGAATCTCAGCAGATACCTTACCAAAACAAAGCGCCAAAGCTACTGCAGCCTTAAACAAACGGACGGGTTCTCATACCAATCATTTAAAGAACACCGCATCGATCTGGCATTAAAAGGTTTATGATCTGCAGGTGTACACACACATAGGGCCGTGGGTCGGCCCCTGTATGTTGGCTGGTAGCGGGTCGATCCTGAGATGGGTGTGGCGATGTTTGACATCAGGTCCTGCATACGTGTCGGCTTCGCGAGGGTCCTGGCAGGTTCGAGCTTCGATGCCGCAATTCCGCGATAGCTAGATAGACCGGCGCTGTAACTGCCGCAACAGCCAAGGAAAATGGTATCCTCCACTGGTCTACATGGTGGTTACAGCACCAAACTATCAATCGAGAGATTGTGGGTGCGAGGGCCCCAAGACTCCAGGAACTTTCAAGGCTGGCATACGTCGCCGTGCGCCGAAAATCTTGCGCCCCTTCTCAGACCCAACCAGCACAGCACATTCCAACAGTGGGAGGAATGATCGGCAAGGGTTTGTGAAGGCAATAACATCGCATAATTCGTATCATTATTGCACGTATATGAAAAGATCGTTTCAGGACTTCGTAAAACTAAGCCATCTAGCACTTTCTATTTAATTTCACAACATTTCTACCACAACCGTGCTTTTGCAACTGGCACGGCTGGCATGACAGGATGCCTGCTAGCGCTCTATTTCATGAGAACGGCGGCAATGGAAAAGAAACAACGAAAATTAGCAGTTTATGTCGTCACAACTCACGACAATAAAGACAACTCATGCCGACGGCCGTGGTACGCGCCTCGCAAAGCGCCCGCGTGAATCCCATCTCTGTGTTAAGTCACTAGGTACAAATGCGAGGTTACATCGCTGGGTTACCTCGCCATTTCGAGCTCCTTAGTGACGTTATTTACGGTCCGCTCAATCACTCTGTCAAGCACAATACGATCAGCAAGCCGCAATCATCCATCACCGGTATGATCCGTTGTTCCCGCAACCCTGCATGCGGCGCCAGATATTCGCCTTCTTAGCGGGAGACGGGAGGCTTAGGGGAAAAATAAAAGAGCTTTCCGGCCTCAGGAAGGACTCTCACATATACGGGCTTGTCAATGCCACTCGGCTGATGACTGACCTCGAGACGGCAAAATGGCCGGGGGACCGGTGTCATGACGTCACTTGGCACAATATCTCTCCGTTGTATTTCACGTAAGCAAGAAAGACCTTGGGCTTCTGATTTTCGGGGGTTCAGTGCTGAGTAATTTCTTTGCTGACAGAAATCGGCCTTCAGCATACTCGTCGGTGCTTGTTAAACGACGTTATCAAGCAAGCATTGGTCATACTGCCAAAACTCGGCGCAGGAAGCCACGCTCCCAGCAGTGCGGCCGAGAATAAGGCACGAGCGGCCTCCGTTGAAATGGAATTTACGATTCGTGAGCTGGGGGCTACGTCGGTCATGGTCCTGATTTAGTTGTTTATTGGTGTCTGTAGGGATCAGAAATAATGTAATTTGGAAAGGTGAAAGTCACCCCCCCCCCCCTAGGTTACACTACAAATGACGTCATCTATCAGTACCGGTGAAGTCCCGCTTCAACTGTTTTATGTCCGCCATTTCACGCGTGATTGTTCCCCAGTGCTGTTCTCCATGATTTTGCCAGAGCAAAAATTAATACAAAACTTTTTGCACTCAGGCTCAGGAAATAGGATTCTTGACATTCCTACTAAATCATTATTCAGACTCCTTGCCGTCGTGGCCTAAAATCTGGCCACCTCAGTTAAATCACACACAAACCTGACACATTTTCTGTCCCAAAACCACCAACACAGGTGGAATCACCACCCAACGGTGAACACCGACACTCGCCAGGACAAAGTTGCCACGCGCCGGACCACTTAGCATGTGTTGCAGTGCGCTTCACCTAACTGCTGCCAGGCGACGGTCGAGGCTAACAGGAAGCGTTTGGCCATCGTCATGGGCGCATATTCAGCATTGATTCGGTGAGCGCCGCCGCCACACACAGCCCTGCGACAGCGAGCCCTCAACACCGATAACCAGTCACCCGGCGGACAACAGCTGCCACTGCTGTGCAAACTGAGAGCATCTACGGGCACGCGGCCTGCCCCCGGTTCACCGAAGCACGCACGACTGCTATGGGTGCGCGAGGCGCGTGCGTGCACGTGCGGACGAGGGGCAGGGAGGCCCCCACACCACGCGGATACGCTACCTTTCTGCTCCTGGCTGTCCTGGCCATCGAACCGGTGCGCGTGCGCATCCTCCGAGCTGCTCTCCACCTTGTCATTCTCGTTCTCGTCGACGCCCACGCCCTCCGAGTGGCCGTTCTGTTTGGCTTCCACAGCCACAGCGGCGTCGTTTACGCCGGCCGTCATAACGCAACTGAAATGGTGCGCGAAGAACGTGTCACAACAGGGGCAGGAAGCGGAAGCGGCAGCCGGCGCCGACGCTTCCTGCACTTCCGGAGTCGACGGTCGCGATTGCTTCGCGACGGGGCGCCCGGACGCAGCCCAAAGTGTCGGAGAGCGAGGCCCGTGCCGTACTCTATCAGCGACGCTCGCCACTCACCGACTCAGCTACGTTGACAATCAGCAGCGCGGGTTGGCCTAGCCAGCCGTGAGCACGTCGAAACGGCCGGGAAACGGAGCCGACAGCGCACGGCGATGGTCGACAAACAGTGCCGCCCGGCCAATCGATGGTGTCTGCAGCGGAAGCACCGCAGGTGCACAGGCGCAACTTCGCAAACACCTGACGGCATCTGATTCAGCGGGTCACAAACGACCTTCCGCAGCGATTTCGCGCCACTTGGATTACACGTAAAGTGTAAGGGGGATCATAATTTGACTGCTGTTCTCAATCTTTTCACACACGGGTCTCACAGCTCCAGCGCGGGCGTTGGCCGTCGGATTCATGGTGCGTTCTCTCATTGGCAAATAGTTAGAGTTCGTCTTATCAATGGCAGACACGAATTCATAAAAGGGAGGAGTTATATGTAGCAATCTCTCTCATGTCGGACTGAACAGAGAGCGGTTGCTTTCACGTGATATTAACCGGCGTCATGATTACGAGGCCAAATGTGAAAGCGCACATTCACCAGCATATGATCAAGACGGGGAGACAGCAGTCATGAGCTCCACACCACATCACAACAGACCACTAACATAACTTTATACTCCATCACCGCTCGTATCCTGAGGGCTGCCTTCCTTACCCACACGTGGCTCTTCCACTAAGCCGTCTGAATGGTCTGCTATACTGTCTGAATAGTCTACTATACCGTCTGAATGGATAGCGCCAGGCCTCTGTGTAGCTTTTTTAGAGGCAGGTTATGCGTAACTTTTTGTCGTCCTCTTTCAGTCTGCGTGACACAGCATGATGCCTGCGAACCCCCGTCACAGTGTTATGTCACGCTCTCGTGGGTATGCTAAGCACCGCATAATAAACTTGGCAACATAACGCCGACGGGCTGCACTCAGCACGTGTCTTATGTACACATTAGCACTTTGGTGACGGCATTTTATCTTTCTGGGCATGGTGACCTGCTGATGTTTCAGAATCAAATTAAGTCAATAACTTCGATTGACCTAAATACCTGCTTATCTTTGTTCTGAAACATCACCATTCACAACTATTTGGATGTGTACCAATGTATCATAGGCGCATGAAAGTCGGCGGCGGTCCCATTGCTTTACTTGGCAACTAACGAAATCGTCCCCATCCTGTCCCAATGCTAAGGACTGCCTTTTAAAACTTTAAACTGCCTTTTCGCTCGTTCGTTGACGGCAGTATTTCGTATTTTTGTGCTACTTCCTGATCTTGCAGATGAAAAAGTGAGTTTTTCTGACTCATGCAAAGCAATCTATTCGTATATCTCGGTACCAATGATCCGAGACTTGTACGCAAAGACTTCAAGTCGCCCACTCACGAAAGGTCCACGTCTAAAACACATCGCACCGAATCGTAACACTGAGCGGCATTAATTCAAACATTTTGGAAGCACTTCAAATCAAAGCATTTCACTGAACTGTATTTCAAAAGGCCTATATCTTTCAAATGATTGGACATAAGTGTTGGATTTATCTCTACCAAGGCACACAGACAAAAACAGTGGCTTTACATCTCAGTCAACCCCAACGTCGAGCGAAGCCTTCAAGCCGGCCATGCAGTTTTCAAATTGAAACCAACCTCAGATGCTAGAACCTACAGGACCTGAAATGTGCTGGCCAGTTTTGAGGATTTTATGCATTTGATATGATCTACAACAGTGGTGAAGCTTCCTTTTCAGCTGGGGAGGCTCCAGCCTTGTCCTGACATTGAGAAGGTGCAACAACTATGCCCCCATTCGTCATGATGTCCCGTACATGGCGAAAACGACAAAACGGCGATGTTGTGGAAATAATGATTACAGCCATTATGATTTGAATTCCACTGATCCGACCTGTATATGCTACGCTAACAGCTGGCCAGAAGGCAAGGTAATCCTTAGTGCCAATGTGGTCAGTGGAATTCCCTAAGGCAGTGCTGGTTTATATCTGGTTCACTTTGCAAAAGCATTGTTCCATGCTGTTCCTCCATATGGGATCTGGCAGACCAGTATTATCTTGCTTTATAACAGGGACCATGATATCTGCCATGAGGTCGTCCTAGCATTGAGAGATAAGGTCCTGAAGTGTCACAGGTCCCTGTTTTCTTGAAAGTCATGCTAGATCCAAGTGGAAAGCAGCACTCAAAGCTTGCCTACAACTGCATGACATTAGTGTCAGTGACTATCAATGCGAGATACCTTTGATGACTGAGATCAGGACAAATGAACCTCCCAACAGGTGTCTGAGTCCACCTCACCCAGCTAGACCTACCCTGCACAGCATCATAACTTACTACCATGTCATATTTCACCATTTACAGACAAAGTGGGTGAACACAGAGGGTGAGTCCATGCTAATGAAAATGACACTTCTCTAGAAAGTATAGATACACAGCACAACCCACCTATAAAAAAGATGCATTTCTGCTGATCCAGGCTGTCCCTTCTCATTCCTTACTTTTTCATTGGTTAAGGGTTTATTACACAATAGGGCTAATAGAATCAAACTCCTGCCAAGCACAAGTCTTCTTGATCTGACACCTTCTCCCCCACTCTGTACTTACTGACTTGCTAAGGGTATATTACAAAATGGGGTTAACACAGAATCAACCCCCCCACCAACCATGCATGAGTATGGATGTGGTGAGGTTTCAATGTACTGCATCCATCCAAAATTACATCTTTTTTCAGTAAGCAGCAGCATCTCCTGATTCAAATGGCACATTTTCCTCACCAACTATTTGTTTTACAATTTAATTTGTCATAGTTTTAGCTTGACATGGCTGCTAAACAGTGACTGATAATGGTGCTAGCAATGGCTGAAGAAAACATTATTATCTTGGCAGTATATTTGATTTTTTTCAAGCTATACTCCTGAAAAAGTATGCAACAGTCATTATTTTTAACATTTTTTTTGGTTGAAAAGATGCTTTCTAAAAATAAGGCTTTCTGATTGTTTTCAGACTGTTTTGTGTATAACTATATTGTTGTTTGATATAATGCACCTTGCTAATGTATCTTATATTTATATAAGGTATACATTGCATTGATTTATAATTTCATAAGTACCTTTATCTTACCAAAGATGCCAAGCCCACACAACTTTTCATGGCAATAGCCAGTATTCACCTTTTTGATAGCATTAGCGTGCTTCTAGGCATGCTGCTGCTAGGTAATGGTAGTGTGTGACATTGGTTCAGCCCAGGCTGCAAAGTTATTGTCACTTAAGTATATCTTGCAATGCACCATGTAAATATATGCAGCTTGATGTGATACAATGCTATGTAATCAAGTTGAGTAAAATATCATGTTATACCCATATTGCCATAACATAAAAGATCTGAAGACATCAAGTTTCATCTACACGAATCTGACATCTGCTGTGCCGGGCACCTATACTCGATCACCATGCCGAACCTTGTGCCTGCATGCCCCATACTTTAGTCAGGCCAAATAACATTTAAATTTCACATTATTTTTGTCATGGCAACATCTTTTTCATTGCTTTTGATTTGCATGATCTTTGCAATATCCCCACTCCTTGGCAAATTGACTCACTGTGGGCTAAATCAGTACTGAATGTGTGCAGTACTTAAACCACTGAGATTTATGACACAAATGCTCTGCACATGCCACAGCAAATTCCCTGCTACACTGGGCATGCTCAGCGTAACACGAACATGATGTAGTATGGTACTTATGTAATGCTCATTCATCATTACTTTTCTGCATGTTAGGATAAACACCACAGCATGGTGAGCACATCAGTATTATCATCATGACTTGCCTTCTTCAATGTTGCATATTGTGGCTGCTGTGCACAAATCCCAATTACAGCCCACTTGAGACTAAGTTTCCAGTGTTTTGATGGCTTGAGGGCTCAAGACTTCAACCTTTCAAAGGCCAGAACTGCAGGTTTGCCCCACAAAGCCTTTCAAAGGCTAGAACTGCAGAGTTTTGCCACACAAAACTAGCTCGTGCCAAAATAAACAGGCCAAATGCATCAGGACAACATGGAACTAACCTTCAAATCTTTAACACCGTAATCATTCCACTGAGACTTCCCAGAAATCCGGTATTCAGTTCTGCTCCAAGTTAGGTACGCAAGTTTTGTGAACCTGACAGGTAGCACAACACACGGGCAGAACAATCACAAACACCCCACCAGTAATTCAACAGCGTTCGAACTAGCGTACTTAGATCTACGACGGTAACCGGGTCAGCAGCCTCGGAATCCCCAGTTTCGCGCATTTCACAACCTAATCCTGCAATCCGCGAATTGTGAACGTGCAAAGCGGGCCGCAATCGCCGCAAGTAGGCAATTGTTACGACGCACTCAACTAGATGTTAAAGTGCTGTATGTATTTCGAGATGTCTGTGCCGGATACCTGTCAAGAAAGTCTGCAGTTAGCTAGTTCGGGGCGCGTTTAACCAAGGACAAGTAGAAGAAAACGTTCCTTTACGATAGTTGTCTGCTGGGGCGATTGTTCTCAGATCGCTTGTGCACATTTCCGTGGCGCTCCTGAGCTTCTAGTCCGGCAAATTTTCTAACGCTTTTGTGGCCTTCGCCTTAGCTGGCTATCACGTGACGTTTTCTATGAAGATAGAAATGGGGTGTTATGAATGTTCTGCCAAAATCTACATCAGTATTCTCATACTCAACCACACAGCGACCCAGCTAATCAGGGTGCTACTTCATGACAACATTCGTTCCATCTTGAGGAAGGCTAGGTGTATTTACCCAATATCAAAGACTTTGCCAATGTGGGCAGCTGTCCTCGAGCAAGACCC